ACTTCTTGTTATTGTAAAGAAGATCATAGTTGTAAATATTATGTAGATCTTGAAGAATTCTTGAATCAACTTGATACATCTTCTAATGTATTGCTTAGTGATAATAGAATGTCAACTTGAAATGAGGCAGTTTAAATTTCTTGTGTTAATGTAGGTACCACTATTGAGACTGAATTCTTGGGTTGACTACCACTTAAGCTTGATGTTCACTTTATTCCCAAGCTATTGGAAGGGACTCTACACTTGATGAAATATAATATTTGACTTTCATTAGCATGATGGCTGAAGAGAATGAGAAGGTTAATGAGCTACTTACAATTGGCTTTGAAGAAAGTTTTGATCAAAGTGTTCCTAAGGGTGTCAAGCAAGAAGAAAGTGCAAAAGAAATTGTGCCACTTCAAGTAGAGGGCAATATGCTTGCTTGTACCATTTCCAAGGAGATTATATCATGTGACCTTGCATTAGATAAGGGAGACATTTTTCTCCTTAAATCTTTTGATAACATCCTCTTTAATTTCATTGATTTTATTGGTTGTCTCCCCTATCTTGACAAATCTCCTTTTCATTCTCTTATATATAATTCCATTTCATATATCATGTTTTATGATCATGTTGCACATGGTGTTTCCTCATTTGAAAAAGAAAATATTAATGGTAGCATCTCATATGACTTGAAGGGACGATCCATACCATACATCTTGGAGCCATTACCAATTGATCCGAGCCACCACCACTTGAGATTCTTGGAAGGAGGATCACAATAAAAAGTTTTATGATATTACTTCAAGATGAGAACTTCAACTTCAAGAACTTAGGGAGATTTAAATTAGGTTGTATCTTCTTCACCCTTATTCCTTGCTTTGCATATTATTTTGATTTGTTGATTGAGTAAAGTGTAAGTGTGGGGGAGATGTCTCCATTAGTAAATCATAGATTTTGTTATTTCATTTTAGCTTGTTTAGAAGTTTTTAAAAAGTTCTGCCCTTATCATTAGTCTATGCATATATTGAGGACAATGCATGATTTAAGTATGGGGGGAAGACAAAAATATTTAATTTTTTATTTTTAAATTTTTTTTTGGAAAAATAAAAAAATTCATTTTGTTTTGTCTTGGGTTATTTAAGAAACTTTTAAATTTTTAGAATTTAAACTCTTGAAATAATGTTGCCTTAGTTGTTTTACCTTATTAACAATCTTTGTTTTAGATTGTGTACAATTGATTAGAGAGGCGAAAAACCCTAGTTAGAAGAAGCCTAAACACATTTGTGTTGTTTGTCTTTAGCATTTGTTCCCTTCAAAACTTGTTTTTCTTCTTAATTAAGGCCACATCATTTCATTTATTGTAGGGAATATGATAATGGCATTCATTAAAAATAGCCAAGAGACTTAAAAGGCTGACACTAATGGATTGATCACCCTTTTTATTAGCCCTTTTGAGCCTTTTGTTTCTTTTGTTCATTTCATAAACACTATCCTTATTTTACCATGGATTGCATGTATTGTTTTCAAAGTGTGTTTCAACATTCTTATCTTTTTTTGGTTTAACTTAATGGATACAACTCATTTTTCCATTTTCATTCTTCCATCATTCCATTTCATTCAAGACCAAGTGCATTATTCTCCTACTACTTGATACCCGAGATGACTATAAAGTGTTGGGGAAAAAAGAAGAAGAATAAAAGGGGGAAAAAAAGAGAAAATTGAAGAGTGTAAAAGAAAATAAAAAGTTTAAATAAAAGGATTGATCCTTGAGTTTCAAGTCATATATTTTGTTCTTTGCTTTTTACATCCATTCTACTTATATTTCCATCCATTTTTCACTTTGCATCCACTTAGTGAAAGATTAAAAAAAATTGAATATTGTTGCATATTTACATTGTAGCTAAAACTTAATTCCTTGAGCCAAACCCTAGCTTACACATACAAATCTAAGAGCATCCATTTCATAGCCATATTACATCCCATTAAAGTCCATTTAATTTTTGAGAACATTTTCATGTTAGTAGAGTAGAGGTAGAAGGATTACAATCTTTTAGTAGGGCATTTTTGTTAAAAGACTTTGAGTGAAATTGTTGAATCCTAAACATTTGAGTGCTTTAGAGCATAGTTCCTTGTGAGGCTCTCTTTATGAAATTGCATCTTTTTAATGATTTTCTTGTGGATGATGAGGTATTCTAACTAAGGTAGCAACATCTCTTATAATTTTGTGAAAAATTTCCTTGACTTTTAACTTAATTACCCTTGACAAGTTGTTTTGTTTTACTTTGTTCTTATTTTGGGATTTTAAGAGAGTTTGTTTTTTTGTTTTGATTTTGCCCGAAGTGCAAAAGGTAAATGTGGGGGAATTGATAAGTTACATCTATCACACACTTTTTCTTATTATTGTTGATAAAAAATGTTATATTTATCCAAATTGCACACTTATTGCATTGATTGTGAAAAATCATCTAAGTGTAAGATTTTGTGCATTAGGAGTATTTTGGTCATAAAATTAAATTTTAGAGAAAATGTTTGAGAAAATTTTCCAAGATGAAATTTTAGTCCAGAAGAACAATGGTCCAATTAAATTTCTCAAATTCATTTTAGATTGAGAGTAACTAATTTCTCAAATTGACTATTTTGGAAAGTCAGTTTCGAGTTGACTTGTTTTCTTGCATTTGGGCTAGGTTATTTTTATGCATGTGTGGCTTACAATTTTTGGGCTCTAGATCACGCCCTAAAGCCTTTTTGTGATTTCATAATTGCTTTTTATTGTTTAATTGTATTTTTCATATATTTGGGAATTAATTTTAATCAGAAAAATGCAAATATTATCTATATGCTTTGAACTTTGATATTGCGTCATGTTTTATTTGTATAGAGATGTACCTTTGGATTTGGCATCCGAGGACCATTGGATTGAAATACTAGATAAGTCAAGAGGAAAAATACTTGAGTTTTGGGGTGAAAGTATAAGTCGTGCACAATCTTGCACGCATCATACCACATTTTAATTCCACTCACTCTCTCTTAATTTCCCATTGCCTTTAGTTTTATTTAATTCAATTTTCAAACCATTTTCATCTAAATTTTCATCCATTTTACCCCAGTAAAGATTAAAGTTACCTTAGTTCATTTTTCACCCATTTACTCAACACTTGAGTTAGGTCCTTTTACCCTAGACTTGAATCAAACTACCCTAATTTTAATTTTAGCATTCATTCTTTCATTCACCCTCATTTTGGTAGCCACCCGTCTCCATTCTCTCTCCATTGTTGTTCACGTTCTTCATCTCCATCTTACCTTCTCTCTCCCATAATTCATGTTCCAACCATCAAAATTATAATCTAACTCCACCAGTCTTCTTCTCTCATCTCATACATCAAACCATAGTGTTTCAAAATCCATTGTTTCTTGGTTTAGCTTCAAAATCCTCAAAGTGTTCATGAGTATAGTTAGGCCACAATGGAAGGATCACACTTAAGTGGATTACAATATGATTAAAGACTAAATCTACAAGGAGTGATAGAAGGAAAGGATGCCAAAGGAGTTTTAAAGTGTCTTAAGGAAGGTGAAGGATCATGGCCACTTTCCATTAAACCTGGGTTAATGTAATATTGTTCTTAAAATTAAGAACATTGTTTTCTAACATCTTGTTTTTATTGACCAAAATTGATATTTAATTATTGGTTTAGTGTTTTTCTACTTTGTTTCACTTTGTATAGTTGTTGAAAATTTTCTCCAATATATTATAATTCACATAAATATATGTTTTATGTATCTTGAATGTGTCTTACATTGGCTAAGTTTGTTAAATAAAAATTTCGTTGTTATATATGTGGCTACAAATTTTTTTTTTTAAAATGTGAGTTGCAACTGGATTGATAGGATAGTTTAAAATAAAAAAAAAACTTATAACTAACAACCCTTGTTGAATTCACATCTTATTGAATCCAAATAAAAATAAAACAAAAATCCTACAATTGAAAATAAGCTTACTTTGCAATGTTCTCTGTCCACTTCTATCGATCAATCAATGAAAAATAATCTATTTTTTCCCATTTTCATGATATATACTTACCTTTCAGTTTAATCAAAATTAGACATGAGCTATGATATATTAAGAGAAGAATTCCTCTCCTTCTCCTTAGTATTTATGTATATGCTAAGAATGTAATTTCTACAAATTCAGCATCCTCATTCCTCACTATATATATATATATATAAAGCAGAACCAGACTCAATGGGAATGATATCAAATAATCAACAATACAAAGCACCATCACAATATTCCAATAATGAAGAATGTAAACAAAAGAATCAAAATAACTAAGGTCAGATACAGAGAATCCCAATGTAAACAAAAGAATCAAAATAACTAAGGTCAGATACAGAGAATCCCATATACTACCAAAGGAATAATTTTGTTAGTAAATAGTGGAAGGAAGCATCACTTGCATGCGTTTCAAATGGGCATGGACAAAGCATATTCTCTTAATAATTCAATGTGTTATTAGCATCTATATTTAGACGCACTTGTTTACAAGAAGTTATATATCACTCATTGATAGTCTTCTGGCCCCAAAAAAAAAAAAAAAATTGGATGAGAGGATAATTTATGTTTTATACATATTTTAACCAAATTATCTTTCTTTTAACCATTTTATACATCTTTTAATAGGTTTAAATATTGGAAAAATAAGTTCAATTTTGTTCAAAAAAATTATTTATTTATCTTGTATCACGAAAAGGGATAAATTAAATGAGAGGTTTTAATAATTTTATGAAAAATAATGAAAATTCATTGTATTTTACCTATTATGCATGACTTGTATGTGTCATAAAATGCCATACCCTTATCACCCTTGGCGGAATCTGAATCAGATGTCAGCTATATATGGATATTCTTCCACAAACAAAATATATAAACTAAAGAAAATCATTAATTCTTCTCAAAAAGAAAATCACTGATTAATCAAGCAGAAGCCAGATGAAGAAGATAAAAGGAAAAAAGAAAAAAAAAAAGAGAAACATGTCTCTGCATTTTTAATTAATTAAACTGATAATACAATCACTTGAAAGTTTGCTTCAAAATTATGCAGCTACATATGTAATAATACACCAAACAAGACCCCTTCAATTATGAAAAGGATCCAAGGAAATCCCAAAATGAAACAAAAATCTCCATTGATATTATTCCAGTCGCGTATATAATTAAGCTTTTGGCTCTTGGTTGGAGTGAGGCATGCTAATGTGAACTGAATCAATCTTACTGATGGATTTATCTCCTTTCTCTGATTTTGCTTCGTTGATTGTTAATTGTTTGTCATCTGCATACTTATTATTATTATTATTATTATTATTCGCATCAACTGGAGAGGCCTTCATTGGTAAGGCTATATCTTGATCTACTTCATTCACTTTACTTTCCACTCTTTCTTTATGCTTTCCCCATAAGACAGAGTACAATCCAATAACTATTAAGATGCTCCCAATAACACTGCACCCACACAAAAGTGAATTATTCTCGATTAATATTAATAGGTCCAAACAATAATAGAAAGCGAAAAAAGAAGATGAAATTATCACAATATATCAATTTCCAAAAAATATAAAACCCACAAACACAAAACAGGTTTTTTTTTTTTTGGTTATGAATCCCATGTCGGGGAGTTTCTACGAGCAAAGTGAGTATCTAAATGGAAGAATGATAATAAAGTCCCAAAATAGAGAATTAATGACAGTTAAGTCCCCACAAATTTTTTTTTTTGAAATATGAATCACAAATATTGATTCAAATAGCTACAAATATGAACTGCAATTGTAGACTATGAATTATATTTAGAAATTAATTTTTTATTTACAATTGGAATTCTTAAATTTAAAACTGTCCAGCTAAATCAGTATTTATAGTTGACTTTTCAGAAAATGCTAGTGGGGACCTACTTGTCATGAATTCCTTATTTTGGGGCTTTTATGTCATTTTCCCTTTATAAATTGAAGGGTTTCTCCCATTAAATACAGTGTTTTGAAAGACTTTTCTCTTTGAATTTATATTTTTTCCTTTAAAAGTTTAAAGTACATTCCCACCTAATAGGCTATTTTTTAAAAAAATTATAAGAATATTAGATACATTTTCTTATCATCAAAATTTATGTAAAGCTCTTTTAAAATAAATTGTAAATAATATAAAATTCCGTATTCAAATTACATAAATTTTTATGTTCTTTTAAGATTATAAATTCACAAATTAAACTTCTCATGACAATAGAGATGGGATATCTATGTAGTTTTTGAAACTCTCAAAGGTCTATGAAATTTAATTTTTATTTTTGATGAAAGCTTGAGTAATTTTTAAAAATAGAATGAACAACTGTATATAATTTCTGAAAAATTTAGAATATATGTAGCCAAATAGATAGATAAATACCCTCCAAGATAAATTTTTTCAGCAAGGATGAAGGAGCCCATGATGGCCACAATAATCATCATCAAAGGGCTAAAGGCAGTTGCAAAGACAGGGCCTTTCTTGTTGATCACCAGTCCTTGTACATAGTATGTTAAGCTTGATGTCACAATCCCCTAAAACATTATTTCACAAATATCAATTAATTAATTGATTAATATTAATAATTAGGGAAATAAAAATATTATGGGTCAAAAGAAAAGTATGTTTCTTATCATCATCATCATCATCATCTTACAGCATAGGCAGCAGCAAGCAAGTTCATGTCAAAGCCAATCTTCCACACAGAAGGATTGTGTTCCATCACAAATGTAACAGCAATTGCCTGAAGTGTCCCTATGAAGCACATTAGTGATGTCAGACTGAGATTATGATTTTGTATGTCTCCAATGCTTTTGCCTGTTCAATACCATTCATTGATCTTATCAATTCCACATAAATGTCATATAATAAACATCACACACACACACACACTCACAGGGTAAAATTGTAAATTTTCTCTTAAGCTAGAACTTCAAAAGCGTCCAAATCCTTAAACTCATATTTTGTGTAATGTTTGCTTTTAACATTTCAAAGTGGTACAATATTGCTGCTACCATTAACAAATGTAAATCTTGACTATTAGTTTATCCAAAAATTACCAACAAATACCCAAAAAATTATGAAAAATATCAAGAAAAGAATTTTTATAAGTCCTTTTCTGTATTTTGTGTCCTTGTTTGTAATTTTTTAGTCCTTTTTTATAATTCTGAGATTTTTTTTTTGTCAATTAATGATTAAAGTTAACTTTTGTTAATAATAAAAGAGACACTGCACCGTTTTAAAAAGTTGAAGAGGAACATTATAAAAAAAATGAGTTTAAGATTTTAGATGCTATTGGACCTATAGTTTAAAGATGAAATTATCCTTAATGCTATTTATATACACTCACTAATATAATTATTAAGTACACATGAGAATCAATAACTAGTAGAAATAACTGAAGGGTTTATTGTGGTGTTCTTACTTGTAAAACAAAAGGCAAGCCCAGGCAAAGGTGGCAATGATAAGGAAAATGGAGCCAATGAACCATTGTTTGTCTGAGGAAGAAGTTGAAGTGTGTGTGGTTTGAAGATTATTGGTTGTGATGTGAGAGTAGCGGTGAGCATAATGTTTGGTCCACAGCAACTCCACAATGGGGCCTTGTACAGTGTCATCAACATGGCCCCAGCCACTGTCACTATGGTCCCCACCACCTTGCTTGACTGACACCTCATCTTCTTCATGTTAATCTTTTCCATCCTAATTAATTTCCAACATAATTTCAATGTTCCAAAAATTAGTTTCTTCATCAAAAGCAAAAGCAAAGCAAAAAAAGCTCATTGCAGAAGAAGATAATTGTTAGTTAATATGCAGGACCACACAGTAAATAAAGGGAAAGAGAAGGTGGAGGGCCCCACTTACCAAGTGAGTGATCACTGGCCACTCTCTTTATTTTTTGTTTAGCATACCACTGTGACCAACTTAATATCTAATAACAAGAATTGATTTCCTAGAGTAAAAACTTATACAATGAGAATATTATTAGCCAAGATCGTCCTAAAGTGAAAGGAGAGACAACGGAA